GTCTGCTAGTGCAGATAAAGAGGAAGCTGAGAAATTCTTTCTCAAATTTGAAGAATTCATTAAAAAAGAAGAATATTGTCCACAACAAATTTTGAATTGTGATGAAACTGGTTTATTTTGGAAGCGCGTCCCAAACCGTACCTATATCTCAAAAGATGAGAAAAATATTCCTGGGCATAAACCCATGAAAGACCCAGGTCGTGCCTATGGGTGGAACCTGGAGGCATCCCCCTCTTTCAATTAAAATGTATAATACTAGTGGTGATAGGAAGCTTATCCCGCTTTTTGTCTATCACTCTGAGAACCCTAGAGCATTCAAAACAATTCCATAATTATAGAAAGACTGCCAGTGATGTGGAGATCGAATAAAAGGGTATGGGTCACGTAGGCTCTTTTCAAAGAATGGCTGTTTGAAGTTTGTGCTGCAAGCATCAAGGATTACTTTCAGACCAATGAATTGCCATTGAAAGCACTGTTGTTATTGGACAATGCACCAGGACACCCAAAAGACCTTGAAGATAATTTGCTGGAAGACTTTCCCTGGTTGACAGTTCAGTTTCTGCATCCGCATACTACTTCGTTGATTCAACCAATAGATCAAGAGGTTATTGCAGATTTCAAGAAATTGTACATTCGCGCACTGTTTCGTCGGTGTCTTGAAGCATGCCAGTTTTTCTCAACGATGACATTAAAAAAATAATTGGAAAGAAAAATTTGATATTCTTAAAGCTATACGACTCATTCAAAAGGTATGGTCAGAAGTCACTCAACGACAGTTGAATTCTGCTTGGCGAAAGCTATGTCCCTGAAATTATGGATGAAATTGTGACAACTACTATATAAATCTGGAATTGGAAGTGAATGAAGATGACATTGAAGAGTTCATGTCATCGTCATTCTGAAACTGATCTGACGACAGAACTCCAAGAACTCTTGAATAAAGAACGCTAAGAAACTCGGCGGTATGTGTTTCCTTCTGAAAGAGCGGAAGACGAAAGAGGATCAATGCCGACAACTGCTATTAAAGATCTTTTGAAGAAGTGGGAGGATGTCAAAACAACGGTCTTAGAATGGCATACAAAATAGGCTTGGAGATCTGTACAATTACAATACTATTAATTACTTCTAAAAAATCTTGAAGAGAGAAAAGCAATCGACATTAAACAGATTCTTTAACCTCCACAAACGTAAAAAACCTGACTAATAAAAATGCAAGACTGTGTATATGTATTTTTATTATTACATATAAATAAACATAGCAAGAAAGTTTATAATTTTTTATTTATTTTGGGGTTCTCGAAAACGAATTAATCAAATTCCCATAAAAATCTATGATAAATCGATAATCGGTTAACGAACAATTCGGGTAGCGAACACGGTTTTGGAACGGATTATGTTCGTTAACCGATCACCCACTGCAATCGTTCCGATATCAAAAGCTATAATAGTGGTGTCAAGAATTTTCATTATATACAGTTTCAGTATCGGTGCCAATGTCATTTTTAATAAAACAATATTAAACGCACTCTTGGTGGTGCAGATCACAATTTCTTTCACTGTTGTTTTAAAGTGTACAGTACATAATGTGATAATAATTCCTTCAAACTGTTTATAATGAAATAAACTTTAGAATAATTAGTAATAAAATAAATCTGTAATGCACCGCCAAGTTGCGTTTGAAAACCGAAATATTGTTTTATTAAAAATGACATTGGCACTGATACTGAAACTGTATACAGTGGAACCCCGGTTAACGAACGTAATCCGTTCCACGAGTCCGTTCGTTAACCGAAGCAATTTTTCCCATAGAAATTAATGCAAATACAATTAATCCGTTCTAGCCGTCATTATTTTTGTAATTTTATTTGTAAAATGAGTTTTCTTTGATTCTTTAAAAAAACGGTTCGAACTTTTGTATCAACCCAACATAATTATCCACATGTTAAAAGCGAAAACACTTGTTAAATCGGACCAAAGTTCATGGAGAAGTAAGGGAAAAAACTGTACTGTAGTTGTCAAAACAAACGCGACACGAAAACGAATGACGTAACAGATCAGGTGGATCAGGTGGAATGTCTGCGGGGAAGATCAAACTCTGACAGAAGCGGTCATAAACAGTCGATCTACTTTAAATTTTCGGAAAAGGGGAACGATTTGACGGGTATAATAACATCGCTTACGATCGTTAAAATTCTAAAATGACAGATAGCAGAGACAATAGCTAAATTATGAGCGAAAGGCTTATATGTTTATTAACAATCTCCAATCAGAGTCGACGAACAGGTGTCAAATAAACGCCTCGGAACAAACCTTTCTCGTGACCTGATCTGGTTCCGGTTTTCACCTGGAGACAAAAAAGAAAACAATCGGAAAGAGAGGAATGGGACGCAGGACTAATCGTAAGGTGAGATTCAAGGAAGAAATACTATAAAATCCCCGAATCTCAAGGTCAAAACGCAGTTTTCCTAAAAATTCTATGGCGATTAATCTTTATCGTCTTCATCTAGATTAAGCCTGAAGTCGTGCCCGCTAAAATTTGTGTTGTGTCACGCGGACCGCTCCAGTCGTTGCAGCTCTGTCACCTACCATTGCTTCTGTGACCAAGCGAACCCATCTCGTCCGCTCTGGGGCTACNTTGCTTGCAAAACCTCCGCTGACGAAGTCGCGGGTAACAGCTAGTTTTTGTATATGTATGAGTAAATAATATCGTTTTCGGTACCTGAGTATTAATTAAAAATTAAAAATTAGACCAATATTATTTTTAGTTCAAAAATAAAAAGTAGTTTGACGATAGAAATTAAATTAATTTACTTATATATAAATCTAGTTTCGATATGTTTACGATAATTCGTCCACTCACAGCGCAGGATAGGATGACAAATTATACGTACCAGCAATGTCTTCAGAAAAAACTTTATTGAAGTTATTTATACAGATCACAAGCTGTTGCGAACTTACAAACTGCACACACACACACACACACACACACACATAGAGAGAGAGAGAGAGAAACAACTAAAAAACGGGATTTTCATTTTAATAAAAGGGGACGAGATCTCGCACTCTTCTCACGAGCACTATGGTTGAGGTGTTGTTAAACAAGGAGGTCTAACATTTATAACAAAATCTCCTAACAGATGACGCTACACACAGTTTTATTTATTTATAATTAATGATATAAAAGTTGTTTTTTTTAAATAAATCTCATCATCCGGAAAAGTTACGCAACTTGTTGCTAGATTTTTTCATCGTGGTTTCTCTTCACTTTTAAACGTATAATCTTTTTCTTATTATGAATTTATATCTTCAAATTTAAGTGTAATCAATTCCAATTTGTCACATGCTGTTCGATTTTCGATTTCTTCGCTTGAGAATGACAGATGTAAAAACTGAGTTTTATTACTACTTTAGGCAATGTTTTATTAAATTCGTTATAAATAAGAAACAACTGTCTATCGGTGTAAATCTTTTTGACGTTGAGTGCACAACTTCTGCCTTCAGATTGCATATAACTAAATAACTAATCGAATTTTGCAAAAATTAAAAACATGTTCGGTAATTCAGCATCAGTGGTTCCAACCGAAATTAAGTTGCCAGCTGTCCTTCATTGAACTGGATTGTCCACCTGCACTCTTTGAATGCAGTTGTTTATTTTTTAATTTTACTTTAACTGAAATATTACAGGCAGACAAACGTTTAAATTTCATTTTTAAAGTAGTAATGAGCAATCTTTTCTGCACAAGGGCTACAAATTCTGGAACTTCGTAGACTTCCGGTGGGAGCATAATTTTTTCTTACAGAGTTGCAGATACTAGACTAAGTTCTAACATTTTCTAAACAATGAACATTGCTGTATAATTTAATTTACCATCATTATTTTCAATTACAACATTCTCTTTGGTGGTTTTCTATTACAGTGGTACAGTACCTCGTACTTCAAATGTTCCTGAGTTCTGTGGTTCTGTAGTATACCGAAATACGACAGTGTAAAGGTGAGGGTAAGATTGATGATAAGGACTGTACAAATTAATAAGGTACAAAACAGATTTAATCAGAGAACGATGTGAACCACCGGGGAGGTCGGAAACCGTCGACTCTCCTTTTCGGCTACAGGTCGTTAAACCTGCTCACTTGTCAAGATGGCTAAATTTCGAATGCGGTCCCGAAGGGTCGGGATTCTTTTTGTCAGGTCGAGTGGAGGAGGTGAGAGGGGTCGTCGACGAGGCGTAGGCGATATGCGAGTAAAAGGACACCATTTAACAATGGAAACAACGATTTATTAGATTAACGAAAAATAAAGATTACAAAATTCGCTAGCTCCTAACTCGCGGAAAGAGAGTTTACAATTATTTGTTTCATACCTCTAGTAGATTTTAACGTAGGCACAGAGTTCGACGCACAAAGTAAAAATTCCCGGAGACTTAATCCTTTCAGATCCCTTCCGTAGATGTGAGACTCCCCCGAGGAGGGGGAAAGAAGTCGCTTTTATAGCTTCGGGCAGGGGAAATTAGTCAGGTGATCCCCTATTGTGTGAGGTAAAGTTGGTCCAGCAGGTGTGGAGGTTAAAGTTGTTCCCGGGACCAAAACAAAATGACGAATTCGAACTTTAACTATAAACTTTTTGTCTTGCAGCAGAGGAATGTCATTGTTCGAGGGTTGAATGTTTATATTAACGATGAAAGTTATAAGTTTCTATCGATATTTGATTCTTTTTTCCGACAATGTTGTTTTAACTAGGAGGAGGCGACAAATTTATTTCAAATACGTCGGAAATTTAGGGGGGAAAATGGACAATTTTGGGCTTATTCTGAAGTCGGATCTCACAACGATATAATTCTGAGGTTTATTTACAATTTTGGAACGTAACTACCATGTTATACGGGGGTTACCTGTACTTTTCGGTTATCCGACCAACCCCAGTCCCCAGTTGAGTTGGATAATCGAGGCTCTACTGTACTGTATGTCTATAGTTGAAACAACAATCATTAGTATTTTCTTACCATCCATTTTTCTTATTCAGTAAAATAGAATAAAATTCTTTCATCTATAACATTTCGAATGAATAGTGCTGCCATCTGACAAAATTTAAAATGTGTTAAAATTATACTTAAAAGAACGAAATTAGTCGATTTGCTTATCATTAATCAAAATTTTAAATTATCCTTCTTAATGTAACAGGATAAAATATCATTTTTTTCATAAATAAATTTTCGATTTGTTTCAAATTTAATTATCTTATTAAATAATTATCTAGAAACGGTAGGAACGCCCACCAGAGTCCAAGGGCTTTCCTTCCCTGAACATCGGTAGTTTGGTCGTGGAATCCCGCCTCGCCAAGACGTGGAGTTTCTCGGGTTTTCTCAACGTCTCAACCTCTTTCCCTCAAACATAGATTTGAGGGAAGTACAGCGCGGCAACGAATTGCCACCTTTTGCTGATTGGTTCGTGTTCGTAAGTAATTAAGTAAGTAATTTTATTATCATTATTTTTATTTTTAGATGCCAGGAGCATCATATGTTGTTGCAACTTGTAATAACAGCTATCATAACACAAATTTATTAAACAGTAAAGTTGGTTATTTTACATTTCCTAAAGATCCAATAATAAGAAAATGGATTCATAATTGTAAAAGAAAAGACAAATTCAATCCTGATTCTTGTCATGTTCGCTCTGATCATTTCACAGAAAATGATTTTGAGAGAAATTTAAAAGCCGAGTTACTGTATTAGGTTTATTGGCAAAGCCTAAACTAAAGAAAACTTTACTACCGACAGTAAATTTAAGAAATATAGAAAATGAAAATATTAATCAGTAGAATCAAAGAAAGAATCGTTTATTACAAAGAAATAGAAAAAAAAGTAACAGGAATACTTTTAGATGTAAATAAACGGGATAAACTAGAAGAATCACTTAAATATAATGATTGTAAAACTTTAGAAAATCTTAATTTTCAATTAAAACATGAAGATTCTATTTTAAAAACTGAACTAACAATAGAAATTTTAAAAAGTTTGTACCTGATTTCTTTTAATTCTGTTTTTATGTAACATTTAATTTGTATATATATATTGATATTAAAAATATGTTTACTGTATAACATAGAAAANGATAAAGCATGATAATGTGAGAAATGTATCTGTAATCTCTGTCTACAATTCAGTCTCTACGGGGTGACACCACAATGAGATCTCGCACCACCTCAAAATCTTCCTACGTCAACCTCTGGTTCGGCCCGTGGAAAAAGGCCCGTGGCCCGTTCTTTCCAATCCGGCCTGGGGGCAAAAACTGTTGGCCACTCCTGGCTTAACCGAACCTTAACCGAGCACAGTGGGGACTGATTTCTTCGTAATATTAGATGTAATAAAGAGAGAAATTTTTCCAGTTCAATGACAGTGACCGAAAAGTTTTAAATTTTGGAAATTTCCGTGGACCCTGGTCCTAAAACGAATTAGTTAGAAAACAAATGACGGACAATCTATTAACTCTAAACCAGTGTTTCTCAACGGGAAACACTAGAACTAAACACGGAAAAACGCCCACATGAGGGCGATATCGCCCCCATGTGGGCGTTTTTCCATGTTGAGGGAGCGATTAGTAACAATTTATATTTTGGGGGCGAAAAACAATTTTCTGGGCGATATAGTAATACATTATATTAAGAATAATTAGATATTTTATTCGTTATATCGTACAATAATTAAACAAATGACATCATACTAGTCACTAGTCTATTCAATGCAGTACGAATTAGGCGTTAGCCTTGTCCCTCAGCATCGGAATTTTGTAGTGAAGGGGGCGATACTACGTGGGAGAGGGCGACGATTCGTTAGAGGTTGAGAAACACTGCTCTAAACGCACGGTGAGTTGTTGACATTTTTTAAATTTTTTTTTATGCGTCACAATTTTTCATCGAGCTGTTCAAACTTGAGTAGCTAATATTGAAAGATTGATCGCGGGCCATATAGATTCATTAGACGGGCCGGATCTGGCACGCGGGCCGTATGTTGGCCATGCCTGGGTTAAGCTTTTGTTTAAGTAAAATTTCGGCTCTTTCGCCAGGATTTTATTTATGCCTCCAATTCCCCAATCTCTTAATTAGTTAACTACTTCTTAATTAATTAAGTAGAAATCGGTTACTTTGTACTCGAATATTTGTAGTCTTGGGAAGAAAGTGGAAAGACAAAGTTTTATGACAACGGATACATAAATCGTAAATTTAAGGAAAGTAAATTCTACAGCTTTTTCTGTACCTCGTGCATCTCTCTCGTTCATTAAATTTAGTTGTAAATGATGCTACCAAAGTAACAGTTAACTTTTTAACATTGTACAAGAATTGTACATATTTTTTCCTACATCCCCTTATAGGTGGGACAGACGAAATCGTAATATCACTGGTTTAACATTGAAATCTGTAAGTAATATAAGATGGTAGGGCAGAATAAAAATATCAAATATTTTAAGGGATTTTTTTAAACTTCTGTCAACTATACAGAATGTGAGATCCACCAGGACGTAGATCTTCGTCTACGCCTCTTACGGGCACGCGATCGTAAGATCGGTTCTCTATAGTTTCAGATCACTAGATCTGATCTTAAAAACTTACATAGGAAGGCGGTAATATTTAGGTTTAAGGAGGATTAAAGACTGTGAAGTCTCTATCCCAACGTCAGGTTCCCGACACCAGTTTGTCAATTGATCGATCCGCGGACAAACACGCGTGTGATTATTTTATAGATCTGATTCAGAAACTCTAAAGGAGACATTCTTTAACAAATAAACAAGAATAAATTTAATTAAACATAAACAATTAAAGGTAATACAAATATATGGAAAGAGAGACAATGAATGCAAATTACAAATTATGAGTCGAGAGAGATATTAGAGAGGTTGAGGCGCACGTTTTAAACGTGTAAACGTGTACGTGTGACGTTCGGCGCCGCTTTCCCGTAAGCCTAAAAGTTTGACAATGGTGTTTGGATAGTCGGTGGAATCACGCTCGACATTCCAAACATCATCGTCAAACTTTTAGGCTTACGGGNAATCGCTCGTCAAACGCCGAGCTAACGCGCGTTAGCTCGGCGTTCGACGAGCGTTTAACGCGCGTTGAAAAACGCCTAGTGTGTACAGGGCCTAAAAGTCGGCAAGCTTACAAATTTGACACAAAAAGCCATTAAGTTCGTTATCCGAAACAAAATTGTTGCAAAGTAAAAGTTCGTTAACGGATTTGGTCGTTAACCAGGACGTTCATTAACCGGGGTTCCACTGTATAATAAAAATTCTTGACATCATCATTACAGCTTTTGACGTAGGAACGATTACTTGACGTCCGCGATATTACGACTTTCCATAGCGACATAATTATGAATGTAAAACGTAGTCATTGAATGACGGCATCATACATTATTGTACTAAAATGTTTCGTACACATGTAATATAAAACGGTAATAATTTGAAAACGATTGATCTACCCATGCTTGAAGACAGTTTCTGTACCTGTAACGTTTACGGGTATATTTTTGGAGATTTGTAATTACCTTTATTTTATAACGTAAGATATTAAAAATAGAAATGTATATACAGTAGAGCCTCGATTATCCGACCACTGATTAACCGACACCTCGCTTAATCGACCGTCTTAGCCGGCAAATTTCGAATGTCCGCTAGTGATGTGGCGCTACAATATTTGGCTATGTCTTGGCTACTTTAATATTATTTTTACATGTTTTAGCTGGCAACACTCATTCGACCATGAAAAGGAGCCAGTATTTAAACGAGGCTTAATTTTCTACTTTTTTAACGATACAATAGCGACGATTATTATTTTAAAAAATGTTTGTTAGGCTTAACATCGATGAAAATTCAACGCAAATAGGTTAATAGCGATATACTAATATACTAATTACATGGGATATAATAATATACTACACTAATAATGGATTTTTTCATACTTTTCGGTTATCCGACTTTTCAATTATCCGACCAACCC